TAAATTGCCCAACTTAAAAGAATCATTTTGTTTCGTATTTTTCTGTAAAGCTAAATGCTTTGTCTATAAGCTAATATTCTAAAATTAATAATCAATTGTGAAATCATGTTTTGTACTTTATTTAAGTGAATCCTATTTATTGATAGTGCTGAACCAATGTGGAAATACTTCATAAACTTGTTCCCACAAAAAGAGTCCTCCAAAGCTATAACTCTTATTAGCCCCTCAGAGGATATAAGGCTTATGGTCAATAACTGGGTTCATTTAAACTTAAGTGATTCACTATTAATTTTTAGTATAAATATGGAATTTCTCTGTTTAAGCTCGTCAGTTTTGGCAGTTAGATAAATAATATGTCTTCGTTTCAGTCCAGTTGACTGCATTCATTGGACTTCTGCTGCTCAGCTATCATTGCTTGAAGATGAAATGCGAAGAGTAGAACGAGTTAATGTAAGAATAATTTTCCTCTTGAAATTTATGTCAAGAGATTATTTAAACCCATAGGCTATCCTAGTACTCCTTAGCGGACAAATAAGTTATGCTATTGTGTTGCTAGTTCTTAGGGATGGCAACGGGGCGGGACGGGGCGGCCCCCGTCCCGTTAAGAAATTCATTCCCCATCCCCGCCCCGTTCCCAGTTTAAGGCGGGGCGGGGGTAGGTTATTTCCCCGTTTATTCCCCGTTTAAAATTTCNAAAAAAAAAAAAAAAATTTTAACGGGGCGGGGCGGGGCGGGGACCCCTTTACCCGTTTAAGCGGGTTTTCCTCTCCCCGTTCGGGGCGGGTCCCCGCGAGTATCGGGTTTGTCGGGTTTTTTTGCCATCCCTACTAGTTCTACTTTGATCATCTAGCAGATGGGCTTAAAGCAGGCAAACTATCTGGAAAATAAGAAGAATTTTATTTTTTATGCTTTCACTTGTTTGTTAATTCTATCATAGATTGATCATTAAGACTTGTATTAAGACACTGCATGGATATCAGCGAATATATGTGTTTATGAATTGCTAATTTTATGATTTTTAATTTATCAATAGGTTGCGTTGATGCTCTCAGGAATGGGCTCAGCATCCATGGATGTCTTCCGCCTGGTAAGACTGTTTTAACCTTTAACCAATCTTGTACAATTAAATTTCAAACGTCAAGTGGTGTAGTTCCACAGTGTTTGAAACACAAATAAATGTTTCCTCGTCGGTAATTGGACTTGGCCGATGATAAAATGTTTCGGCTGCCTGTCTTCTATAATTTATTTTTTTGCTTTTTGTGGGTTTATTACTTGATTTTCTTGAGAAAAACAAAAAATAATAATAAAAAAAAGATATGGAAGATCTGCGCTGTCATGGTCACAGACTCACAATCACGGACTGCCAACCCACTTTTACACCTCTAGTTCGAGTAGCTGACACTGGGCTCCTAAGTTGTTGCCTTGGCTGTCTAAATGACTAGTAAAATAGAATTATGATTCCACTATTCAGTCATATTTTCTTATAGTTGCTGCAACTTGGCGTAAACATTTATAGATTTGCAATTTTACATTGTTATTACTGTTATTTATATTTTATCTATCCTGATCTTGACACTCTTAGGTGTAACAAGATTGACATGAACCAGTCCATTTTTTGACCTTTATCTACATATGACTACATATTTTACTTCTGGTTTTGGCTTTACATTTTAATCCAAATTACTTCTAAATGATGCAGGCGAGCTCTAGATGGGAAAAAAGACAAAGCAAAGTCTTGGTAAGAACTCTCTAAACTGAAAATAGCGCAAAAATTTCCAATACAAGGGCTACGATATTGAAATTTGTAAAATTTTACGCTTTCTGAACCAGCTTGGTATACGACCAAATTAGAATAATTACTGAATATTCCGAGTTTTGAGCTTACTCACAAATAATTTAGTAATAATCGACAAATTACCTTTATTGATTAGCTTTTACATTTTTCTTAATGGACAAAAAATTTGTTATTTATTTCAGAGACAAGCTAAAGAGAGAATGACAAGGCAGAAAGGTTCTGATAAAACCCAAACATATTGGAGCAACCTTTGGGGCAATGCGAAAGACTACGAAAATACTGGTAAGATAGAAAAGATGAAACTGCTATTTTCATGACGGCTACTAAATATGCTGTCGTTAAAAAATAAAATAATGTTAATCGCGTAAACAGTTAGGTAACTCTTTTGATTGGAAAACATGGCATAAGTTGATCTTTAGACACTGTATATTATCTCTATGTTTTAATGCAGAACAACCTTTGTTTTTGATGAAAACTATGTACGCCTTATGGCCTTTTTCATGGATTCAGTTTCAAAGTTATCAGCCTAAACTACGGTATGGAATAAAAGACAAGTGATTAATAACTGGAGTTCATAGTTCAAAATCTTGTCGACTTTTATGCTGGATGCTAAAATAATTTGAAATTTGCTGGTGGGATGTTTCAAAATATAGCCTTCTGTAATTGAACTATATGTGATCGGAATTTCTATGGTAGTTGTAGAGGAAGAAAATAAAGAGAGGGCACGACGAGCTGCAGCTGCCCGAGCTTCTACCTCTCTCATAAGCTGAAGGGGAGCAGACAAACCCCCGAACTACAAACTTCCCGAGGCAGTCTCTAACAATGACCAGTGAGCAAATATTTGCAATATACATGTAAATATCATTAGTTGAAGACGTGATAAATGCATTCTTACAATATGTATTCCATCTATGATTGTGTAAAAACTACCAAACGCGTAATTTAGTGAACAAGATTAACGAAACGCAAGAAAGAAATATTCTAGTGAAGAAAAATTCGAATTTTTCATTTTTTTTTATTATTGTCGAGTGTTATCAAATCTTCTACCAAATACGTCATCGAAGACTCGATAAATAATGGTTTTTGATGATACAACTAGGATCATTAATTGCATGTCTTCATTAATGCAAAAATTAGTCATGACAGCCATACCTATATGCTTTTTGGCTTTAAATTGAATAATAAATGTTAAACAATAAGCTAGTGGATGCAACTCTTATGGATTTCCGTACAATTTATGTTACATCAGCTCAACTTGTTTACTTGTATTTATTTTTAAATATTTAGCTGGATTTAGTTGGAATATTGTCTCAGCCATGTTGCAGCATATGCTTTGTGTGTTACCATCAAAGTTAGTAACTTCTCTCAATCAATAATGCTTAATAAGAATATTTATACATTTAGGTGGCCATAATAATGCTAATAGTATATCCACTGGGTAAGAATCATTCTCAATGAGTCGGTATGGATTTATCCAATTAAATCCGAGCAATGGACTAGAAATCTTGATCATCAATCACTCTACAAAGTCGTAAGACCATATATGTAGGCTAACGGCTATCCAGTGCCAGAAAAATGAAAAATTCCTTGTTAGGTACGTTTTGACCAGTAAGTATTGATCTGGACAATTATTATTGCGTACTCCATAATTCTTCCGAGTGACACATATCCTAAAGGGTTATGCCGCTAGACTCGAGCTAAAATGAGTTCAATTGCGATAATGGCAACGTAATATGCTCTAACAATTGAGAATGATTTTCTTGGATTGTTTTTATTCTTTATTAATCTCTTCTATGTTGTTCATCATGTGAAAACCCCAAGAAGTTTGCATTTCTAATTTACAAATAATTAATCATAAAAGATTTTTTATAGGAATATGCTACTTGTACATAATGTGGTGTCCATAACGGTGTCCACCCCTTCACATGGAGGAGGGCCCACTTCGAATAAAATATAATATATTCAAAGTGAGTCCCCTCTATGTGAGGGGGTGGATACCGTTATGAACACCGGATTATGTACGTGTATCATCACTCTTCTTTATATTGGCATTTATATAGGGATCTATTTTGTTATGAAAATGCATTGACAATAATTATGTTTAGTTAATCTTAGGATTAATGCAAGTTGATTATAGAATGTTTGTGTATTATATTTTATTAAAATAAAAAAAAATTCAAAATCTCTATTTCGATCTTTCGTAGGTATTAAGGGCCGGTTTACACGTCGAATTCCACTATTTGAAATAATTAGCACTAATAAATTCCGATTAGGAAACGTAGTTGACTAATTTTTATTAACTTCTATCAAAAAAA